TTGTGGCGCCCCCCCTCTCTGTCCGCAGCCACAAATAGACTCTTCTCAAGGCTATTCCTGTCCAAGGACATGGGATACAGATTGCAGGAATCCACACTTGGGTGTATGAGAGTCCCTCATGAGAGCTTAAAAAAAAAAAAAAAAGTAAAACCCTTAAATTAGCCCTGTGAAGCCCAAGGTATGGCTGGCATCTGGTTTCACTGATCTTCCAAGGCATGCACATCCCTTCCTATGCTTTTATTGCTTCAAAGTGCACCAATAATGGAATGTTTGCTTTGAAAGTACACCCATTATTTTATTACCATGTGCCTAAGTGACATGCACGTCTGTGGGACACGAGAGAAGGCGACAGACGTGCTCTAAAATCTCACTATTTTGTTGGCAGGCTTAATGGAGTACCGGCGCCTTCATCACTGTTTTCTTTACTCTTTTTTTTTTGCCAAAAGTTTAAGAAATAAAGTCACCCCATCCCAGTTCCCCCCTTCCCTTCTCCCCACAAGAGTGACCCCTGAAATGTGCTTTTGAAAACTGGGAAAACAGAGACATGGAGACATGAAGCAATCTTCCTCAAAACATATGGAAACCCAATCGCAAAGTCACAATAAAAGCAAGGTTTTAAAAAGAGTTTTATACCTACCTTATCTAAATCATAACATATTTTCGGTCAATAACATAGGTCACCACGTGACCTTACCTTATCTAAATCATAAGATATTTTCGGTCAATAACAGAGATCATTACGTGGTACAAATTAAAATACCGCTTTTATTGATATGCTCAAACACAAAACATGGGTAACATTTTAAAAAACAGACAAAAGCTGTATCTGTTCCTTGATGTACCTAATTGACCCACAGTCCATTTATTTTTCTCAGGAATCACATGGAAGAGATCATCTTCCTCACTGACTTCTGTGCCAAACAGCCTTTGTTTTTTTTTCTTCCCCTTTTTTGTATATGTTGCCCTGTGTTCCCATGAAGCCTGGCACTGCAATGAGCACCATGGCTGTGGCTATTTTTCCCAAAGCCTGATCCGCAAAGGAGCGTAACGTCCGTGAGGACTCCCAAGCACCTCCATGGAGCCTGTGGAGGTCGCAGCAGGAGGGAGCGAATAAACTGCTGCCACTGGAATGCAAAACCACAAAGTTTTGGCTTCCTCGGGGACATATTTTCCTTCAGAGTTATCAAGGCTTAAAAAACACCACAAAGCTATATTAATAAAAAAGTCAAATCAGAACTCAAAAGATCTCCAGTAAAGATAAATCTAATAGCCGTTTATTCTATAAATATTTCTTTTGTTCAAAGACAAACACTTATAGAAACTTCCAAGAAATATTCTTTTAAAAAAATGAAGCTAGAGGAAATTACAAAGTATCAGTTGTTTTAATTTAAAGGTAATCTGGCAGAATTGAGCTGCGCTCAGTCCTGTCTGTAAACCCACATCAGTTTCCTCAGTGCAATCACACTAATCTACAGTTCTCTTTTACTTCATAAACAGTTTCATTAATCGCTCTTATCTTCTCCTTGATAATGTCTGTATTCTGGCTTCAGCTCCCATGTGTTTTTGTGGGTCCCCTTCACATTGTAGATGCCTATTTCTCTCAAAATTTCTTTCAAGTATATCTGAAATAAAACAAAATATGAAATTACAAAGGCAGGTGATTACCGTAGATCTTACTTATAACTTGATTCCACAACATCTGGCAAATCACATTTACTGAATCACAGAATGGTTGAGGTTGGAAGGAACCTCTAGAGATTATCTAGTCCAACCCCCCTGCTCCAGCAGGGACACCTAGAGCACGTGGCACAAGGTGGCATCCAGGCGGGTTTGGAAGATCTCCAGAGAAGGAGACTCCACAACCTCTCTGGGCAGCCTGTTCCAGGGCTCTGTCACCCTCACTGGAAAGTTCTTCCTTACATGGAGATGGAACTTCCTGTGTTTCAACTTACACCCATTACCCCTCATCCTGTCACTGGCCACCACAGAGAAGAGCCTGGCCCCATCCTCCCTACAATCACCCCTCAGGTACTTGAACATGTTGGTCAAATCTCCTCTCAGTCTTCTTTTCTCCAGACTAAACAGGCCCAGCTCACTTAGTCTTTCCTCATACGATAGATGCTCCAGTCCCTTAATCATCTCCATGGCTCTCCGCTGCACCCTCCAGAAGCTCCACGTCCTTCTTATCCTGGGGAGCCCAGAACTGCACCCAATACTCCAGGTGCGGCCTCACCAGAGCTGAGCAGAGGGGCAGGATCCCCTCCCTCCACCTGCTGACAACGCTCCTCCTGCTGCAGGCCAGGAGCCCATTGGCCTTCTTGGCCACAAGGGCACACTGCTGCCTCATGGTTAACCTGTTGTCAACCAGGACTCCCAAATCCCTCTCCGTGGAGCTGCTTTCCAGCAGGTCAACCCCTAATCTGTCCTGGTGCCCAGGGTTATTCCTCCCCAGGTGCAGGACCCTGCCTTTGTCCTCTTTGAACCTTATGAGGTTCCTCTCTGCCCAACTCTCCATCCTATCTAGATCTCTCTGAATGGCAGCACAGCCCTCAGGAGTGTTGGCCACTCCTCCCGTTTTGGTGTCATCCGCAAACTTGCTGAGGGTGCACTCTGTGCCCTCGTCCAAGTCGCTGATGAACAAGTTTAACAGCACTG